GAAAACGAACTGTCGTCGCGCCAAACCCAGCTTCCACACCCGTGTCTGCAGCGAAAACAACTAACAACTATAGAATATAGTACGCCGCGTGGAGGGAGTTCTGTGGTGAAATGAGAAAATCATTCCCACGGCTGAACATACGCACGGCGATCAAATAATCGTCAGCTGACTAAAAAAAGACAGGGGAAGGGAAGTAGTGATGTTTGAGCCTACCAAAAATGGGTTTTAAGAAAATCGAAACTAATGCAGGCCCCGGATATTCTTCTACCATGATATTGCATCTTTCATGAGGAGATATGATTGATGTCGCTACAGTCTGACGGGGTGTCAGAAGGCGTGGAATGAGCCCGTCCGCGGCTGCGCTTTCTGCCAAAGGTGGGCGTTTCAAGTAGAAAATAAAAAATCGCAGAAAATGTCTCTGATGTACTTATTCCGCACCCCCGATACAGTCCCGCCGGATTGCTCTGATTGTGTCGGAACGATCACTCACGAGGTCCTTATAACGGACTACGAATAGTATTGCGCGAGGTGCTTATATACCATAAGAAATGACGTTTCCATGAGGAGTCAAAATATAGGAGCCAACATTTCTAAGAGCAGACAAAATATGACATTTTCTCTTAGAAGGGTGATTAAGAAGGAAATGATTCAATCGAATTTCCGATTCAGTAAAAGGCTCAACTATACGAAACCCATGATACTCCCAACCCAAAAAGAAGTGAATTATCGTTTCTTTTTAATGAAGGTGGCCTCAATTGAACGTTTCCGAAATAAGCGAAGTAGTTTGAAAATTACGATTAATACAATGAGCACGAGTAGAATAGTTTTCCAATATTTGAACACATCAGTCAATGAAGTGAACCAATTAGAGATTGTGGTTGGGATGTCTTTTATAGAAAATCCTGTAGATGTTGCGCGATATGTGTCCAAATGTTGAAGCGACGTCCGTTGAAGAATCGGTTCGTTGACGTAAGTCCAGTGTTCCCGAAGAGTGACTGTTGACTGTCCTGCAGGGCAAAATACCGAGCAATTGATGTTAATGGACGAAGTTGAGAAATGGAAGGTTGCGTTGGAAATTACTCCGTAAGGTGAGCACTTGACGAGTTGAGTCTGGTTGTCGCAGTGAATTTCGGCGGTTTCTTCAGATAGAGTTGATGTGCAGGATATTTGGGCACGTGCTCCTTGGAAGCAGGAGTAGCATCCTGTAAGAGATCCTGCGTCAATGTGGCATTTGTTATGGACGCGTTTCGTGAAGATCGAGAGCCTGTGCATGGAGATTTGAACCGCTGTGCTGGATCCAGTTGTAGTCTTCGCTTGGATGCTGGTTTCCGCGTTGGAGTATGACGACGTCTTTTCCATAAAGTGGTAATTTTTGAGGGGGTTGTTTAGGTATCGTCGTACGTTTCCTTCGGGGCAACTGCATGAAGCTTCCTAAACGAGCGGAGTGCATTGGTAAACGAGAGGAGTGCATTGGCAGGAGGATGGAGAAAAGTGGCACGGTGAAAATCTCTTAGCAACTTCTTCAGAAGCGCATTGGAGTTGTCCTACGGAGTTGGGGAGTAGGATTCCAGCCGGTGACGGTTCGACTTTCGCAACTGTTTGTGCCATCAGTGAGAAAGTAGCTAGATAGGATCGGTAGATTCGGTACGATTGTTGCCGTCAGGGTGAGTTCGATGGTGTTCCATATGTGCGGGCGAGCGGGATGTAGGACGAAGTCGTGTTGTTGTCTCTTGGTTGAGGTTTCCAAGGTGATTGTTCCTGTGATTGTGATCGACCATACGGGGCACGTGAAGACGCGGTAGATAGTTCCGGATTCTGGCCGTGCGTAGACTTTGTAGAAAAGGCATGTCTCCTTGCACCAGAAGCAAAAATCGCACCAGAGGCATTTGCATGATGGAGAGCAGTAAGTGTGGCCGGGATTGTTCTTCGCGTCGCTGCTGAATTCTTTTATGTTAGTCGATGTAGAAATTCCAGTGCAAGTTTCGCCGGTGCAGCTGTGGGCATTCCAACATTGATGGTGGGACTCGGTATGGAACTGGTGGTCTCTGGTGTAGTATTCTGTCCGCTCTTGGCAGCTGTAGGCGATGTCGTGGACTCGTAGAGTGATGATTCCTGCGGGTTCATTCTTGTTGTTGCGTAGTAGTAAGCAGACATCTTGTCCCACTGGCTGTAATTGAAGAGTGACCGCTTGATCGAAATAACATTCTTCGTTTGTGGAGTTC